AGTATTTAACGTGCCAAGCAATCGAGGAGCTCCTGCGTCTCGACGAACCTTTGTCTGCTCACGATCGTGTGTCTTGTGGATATCTCCGTAAACTAAATCCTGTTACCCAAGAAAACGTATAAGAACTATACTATGCCTAAAACCAACTTTTTAATATGTGACATCATCAAGAAGTCAAGTATCTCTTGTGGTGGAAGTAAACATGGCAGATTACATTGGCAGCTGCATGCCAGGTTTGGCAAGAGTAATGGAGCCGTCATAATGAGGCACCCAACCGGCAGTTGAACAGGATATTCGCCACATTCATTCGATGTAAAAGGCATGTTATGTGTTGAATATGGCCATATCAGCATAGAGCACCAGGAAATTTCTTCAACATATCATTATGATATTGAGCCATCCGTATAGATCATCGCAGTACGTGTCCTTATAAGATGCCCGCATCGTTCGGGCTTCCCCCTTTACGCCTTCCGGCCGCGCGGGCAAGCGGGATTGCACCACATATTGGTTAAACCCCTCGGTAGACCTTTCTAAAAGCCCGGAGACTTATTCTCACACATAAACCCAATCTCGCATGAAGTTACAACAGTCACAGCTAAGTATGAATAGGTCGCAAGATGCAGGCAGCATCTCATGACACATATCTTCACTATGAGATTTGACTTAGATGTCCTCGTGCATCCCGTGAGCTTGCCAAGCTCGTATGGCATCTCCCTAGCACTTCATGCTACATGCGCACGAGTGTGTTACGCCATATCATACTATGATGCGCATGGTTCACGTGAAGATTGATACTTCACCATGACGTGCTCATGAGGTATATTGTTTCCATATCTAGCCAGTTTTGGTATAGTGATATTCAGATTACTGCGAGTAGCCAATCCTGATCACAGGAACATAGACCAATAATGATTTCCAGTTGTAAACTCCCCGACAGAGCCCACCATGTTGCTCGAACATCGCACAAGTGGAATATTCAAACTCCCGTTTTCACGCACCTATAAGATAGTCGGATTCGGATTCCTTACATCGCAACCTGTCAATGAAAGGCGAAGACAGTGTTTGTTGTATATGTTATCAAGGAGACTGGTCATACATGTATCTGACATCCAGCATATATACCGACCGTATGTCCTCGCATATGCTACCACATCATATGCGACATCAAGCATTGTTGTTATCACTTGACTACGACAGACCCTTCAACTGGTTGTCCACCTGGCATTGCTCAGGCAGTGGTTGTGTCGTGAGTTCGCATCCATCGAATGTATGTTAATGTAAGGTCTCCTCGTCATATGATGTCATCAGTCATAAATAGTTTATCACCTTTGTGAGCTGTAATCTCAGATATCGACTTTTCTATACGCAGTAAGTCTCTGAGGTCTTTTATAGATTCTATAGATGTTTATCTGGTAAATTTGTAATCTCATTGATCTTAATATTCGGCATAGAGTATCTACTCACTTGCAGTGAGGCTTGCATGGGCTAAGGGCTAAGGACACCAGGTTTAAATCATGTGGCTCTTGGTTGGTGTCCGCTCCCGCAGTATGGCGCACCATGGCGTTGGCTGTCGCTTGCCTTGCTTGCACGCGGGGGGGGGGGGGGGCAGCCACCCAAAAAAAACAAAATTCTGGCGGGGGGGGGGGGGGGGGGGGGGGGGGGGGGGGGGGGGGCAGCGCAAAAAAAAAAAAATAGATTTTAGTTTTTTTTTTTTTTTGCGCTGCCCCCCCTTTCCCTCCAGATTTTTGTTTTTTTTGGCCGCCGCCCCCCCCCCCCCCCCCGCCTTCCCCTTAGCAGCAGTATTCTCGCCCTTCGGGCCTAAACCAGCCAAGAAGTGAGTCAAACCTCCTGCTCTATAGTCACGTCGACAATTGAAACAAGCACATGTATGGGTATACGTGCAAGTATCCTATTTAAGAATATGCATATGAGGATAACGATATCGTGTGCACGAGTGATGTTGCTTCAAATCTGAAGCAAACCAAAAACATGAAAAACAGTAATGCTGTAAATATGGGGCCCGTAATGTCTTATTTTCTGTAACTTTACCTCGCATTCGTGCGTTCGACCACGCCAATCCCTGTGAAGGGTTGCAAAATTCATCTCAATGCACATCAAAAGTAGCAACTTTACCTAGCGTTCGTGCATTCGACCATGCCAATCCTTGTGAAGGTTGCCAAATGCCAATCCCTGTGAAAGGTTGCAAATTGCACCTCAATGCACCTAAAAGCGCTTCAAAGTAGCAACTTTACCTCGCGTTCGCGCATTCGATCATGCCAATCCCTGTGAAGGGTTGCAAGTTCGTGCACTCGACCACGCCAATCCCTGTGAAGGGTTGCAAATTGCGCCTCGAAGCGCATCAAAAGTAGTAACTTTACCTCGCGTTTGGGCGCTCGACCATGCCAATCCCTGTGAAGGGTTGAGCGGCGCGCCTATTAAGTTTAAAAATATGTAACTTTACCTCGCGTTTGAACGCCCGAGGAAGCGAATCCCTGTGAAGGGTTGCGCGGCGCCCGAAAAATGTGTAACTTTACCTCGCGTTTGAACGCCCGAGAAAACGAATCCCTGTGAAGGGTTCACGGCGCCCGAAACATGTGTAACTTTACCTAGCGTTTGGGCGCTCGACCAAGCCAATCCCTGGGAAGGGTTGCGCGGGCTGCCTAAAATGTGTAACTTTACCTAGCGTTTGGGCGCTCGAGGAAGCCAATCCCTGTGAAGGGTTGCGCCGCGCGCCTATTAAGTTAAAAAATGTGTAACTTTACCTAGCGTTTGGGCGCTCGAGGTGGCCAATCCCTGGGAAGGGTTGCGCGGGCACCGCAAAATGTGAAACTTTACCTAGCGTTTGGGCGCTCGAGGTGGCCAATCCCTGTGAAGGGTTGCATTCCCGATGGACGACGACGGTGCCACCCCTGGCTTTAGAAGAGAGATTAGATGCCGAGATGTAGAGAGTATGTAGAGAGGTAGAGAGTAAGTCACAGAGTAAGTCAGAAAGTAAGTCAGAGTGTAAGTCAGAGAGTAAGTCACAGAGTAAGTCAAGAGTACGTCACAGAGTAAGTCACAGAGTAGTCAAGTGAGTAAGTCACAGAGTTCTCCTCAAGTTCATAGAGTCGTAGAGTTATGAGATGCCCCAGGGTCTAGACATATGGATATTTAAATATATTGGTTTTGCAGAAAGGGTTGCAGAAATATTGCAGAAGGGTTTTGCAGAAATTTTGCTGATAATTTCGGTCGGCTTCGGGGATTGCAAAAAAATTGCAGAAATATTTGCCGAAGAAACAAATTGCTTGGGGACTGTTAGAAAAACACAGAAATATGTGCCGAAGAAAAATTGGCTTGCGGCGGCAGTGATAAGAATGAGCTGGAATCAAGATCTTCCTCCTAAGCTCCGGCAAAGCCCAAAAAATCTGAAGACAAAAATGTACTTGCATGAGCAAGGCGGATGAGCAGGGTGGTGGCGGTGGTGGTGGTGGTGGTGGTGGTGGTGTTGGTGGTGGTGGTGGTGGTTGGTGGGGTGGTGGTGGGTGGTGGTGGTTGGTGGTGGTGGTGCTGGTGTCGGCGGTTGTAGCGACGGTAGGGGGTGGGGGCGGTAGCAGTGGTGGCGGTGGCGCTAGTGGCCGTAGTAGTGGTGGTGGTGGTGGTGGCGGTGATGGCGGTGGCGGTGGTGGTGCTGGTGCTGGTGCTGGTGGTGGTGGTGGCGCTTGTTACTAGTGGTGGTGGTGCTGGTTTCTTTAGAAAAGTGCTGGTGGTGGTAGTGGCTGTGGTGGCGGTTAGGGTGGTGGCGGCCCAACGGGCTTCTCAGATCAATCGCTCAAGGTTCAAGCTTGCAAGACAGCACACGACAAGAACACTGTGGAGCTATGCACACGCCTTGCACACGCTGTCTTTTTACCGTGGTCACAGGAAACTGTACGTAGGTTCAAGGATTCAAGAATCAAGACCAAACCCGCGCACACACTAGCCACGACAGCATAGGTCTCCGGACACAGCTGCGAGGTGCTTGCACACAGGATTCATTGGTCGAGGCTCGCTTCTCGCTCGGCCCCTAGGACCCATCACTTCATCCAACACTTGACTTGTTGCTGCAAAACAGCGCCCAAATATACGGTCAGGTGTACAGTGTACAGTTTACATATTTGCAAATCACTTTGCACACAGGGGCCGGCAAGTGGAATCACCCCATATCGCTGTTGCAGACTTGCCAACGATGCCCACTACTTTAGTTGCCAAACGCTTGCTGCTGCCGCTGGCCAGATAAGTTGCGGGGCCTGGATTTTGGAATTGCGGGCTTAAGGCTTGGGGCTTACGCTGTACGGTTGGGGTGTAATAGTGCAGGTTTATAAGTTGATAAGGTGTTTAAGAGCTAACGACGTTCAGAACCAGGAATTGAGGGCTAGGGCCTTGGGCGGCTCGGGTTAGGGCCGGCTAGGGCTAAAGTGGCTAGACAGCTAGAGCTAGGGCTAGGGGTTTTGGGTTGACACTTCACGGTCTGGGAATTGGGGGCTTACCAGACCCCATCTATGAGAAATCGACCAGCAAATGGACCACATGCTGTACTCGATATCTCTGCGGCCATCCAAAAGAACTAAGTAGCCCCTAGTACTTCGTAGCAGCGATGTGCGCTCAAATCAAAAGGACCGTCGGGCCATCACTGACGTGCAAGTTGCATAGCAATAGCGACAGAAATGACAGCATGACTGCGGGCAGTCATGCACAAAGGCCTGGGCCTCTGGGCAACGTAGTTGCTACGGTACTGCTAAAGCTGCTAAAGCTTTCTAATTCCAAGACTATGACGATGACTATAGCCTATAGCCACTATAGTCGTCACTAAATCGTTGACAGCTTCACTCCACGATAAAGAGCAACACTGGCGGCATCTTTTTTACCTTGAAGTAGGCCTAAAGGCCTAAAGTCACACACTAAGCCAGTAACAGTAAAGTCAATAAATTGAGTAAGCCCAGTAAGCCAATAAGCCTTCGGAGCCCGGATTCGTGGCTGATGCTCTACCCAAGATGCTTCTTGCATGCTGCAAGCAATCCCTGGTGGACATCAGCTTCACTCAAGCCCAACTTGTTCTTGAAGAGGAATGTGTGCTCCTCCAGGATGAGCGCCTTCATGTTCCGACATGTGACCGAACTAGCCTCATCGAGATTGCCATCGGCACCTGGCTTGAGCGAGGAGAGCTTCATGTCGGCATTCAATAGGAAAGTCTCCAGGACTAGCAGCTTGGAGTACTTCACCTGTGATTGCGAAATCCTGTCGCACTCGCTCTTCAAGCCCTCCATCTCCTCGTGGACTTGCAAGCTGAGGCCAACCCCGCCAAACTTCGTGATGATATCCTCGCAAGTCTCCATGGCCTGACCAAACAAGCAACACAGTCGTATAAGAACCACGACGACCACGATAGGTTTGGACCGAACTGCTGAGTCACAGCATCACTCTGTCACGATAAACGATAGACAAAACTGCAACTGTTCTCCTGAACCAGCCAAATAAGAAGGAGTACGTACAAAAATGAATTTAGAATCGCTCAGACAGGAATAAACGGGAACGTTTCACAACCAGCATCCCACCCAAAAGCTCATGAACTCTGCCAAGCCTTGCACAAGCCTTCTTATGGATGTCCTGCTCTACGCCCCGATTAAATGTCTCACTTTTGAACAGCTCCACACACGGCACACGAACATTCCTGCACAGCAATCACTGAGTTCCTATCATGATCTTCAAATTAGGCCTAGGCCTCGGAGATGGAATAGGCACCATATGGGCCTCTGCTCTACCATAACCGGATGGCTTACCCCCAACCCAACCGGCCCAACCATAAGTCATAAGTATGACACTGGCAAATCAACAACAGCCCCTAGGCCCTAGGCTCTTGTTTTAATTCAAACTTTGGACTCGGACTCCAAACCAATCCCAAACATTGCTTACAAGTCCATCAAACATGAACAAGGTCCTCGAGGCTGGCAGGTAACAAAGATCTGCACCCCGAACTTAGAGCCTGCAAACCCCAGAAAGCCTCTGGACAGCACAAACAATAACCTTGAGAACTCACACGATGGCATCTGGGCCCATGCCTATGTCATGGCCTGGGGCGGGCCTACCGTTCTGGCGACTCTAGGACTCTAGGCCTAGCTGCAATCAAACGGCAGGCAAGCCTTCATGAAGGCCCCGCACTCATCTCGCAGCTTCTTGCCATCGACTGTCTTCAAGATGGTCTTGAGGGGCTCCAACAGAGTGGGGACCGGGGAGTCATCAAGGCCTGCGCGCCAGTACTTCTGGCCTGTCTTCTGATATCCATGGCTCAGCTCGATGATGCTTGCAGCCCCATCCTTCAAGGTCGATGAGATGGCACGGACCATATCGAGGATGCGCATGTTGTAGACCGCGTTGTCATTGTACTTGAACTTCTCCTCGAAAGTCAGAGGCCACTCACACATGCGTGCTGTAGATGAGCCAAACTTGTCAGTGCAGTCTGGGAGGAGGGGCGATATCATCTGTTCAAGCCCGTCTTGGCTGCTCCTCATGCGGTCGATGAGCAGCTTCAATGTTTTCATCAGGCCCTCGTGCTTGTTGGCAGCCTTGTCGCGGTCGTCCATTCTACGCAACTTCGCCACACCCCCAGCAAACTTGAGGGCCACTTGGAGAAGAGTGCAGACGTTGCCAACAAACTTGCACATCGTTTCGCCTTGGTCGCCACTGAAAGCACAACCCACACATGCATTCACCACCTGCACAATCAGCTTGACATCCTCTGCATCGATGTGACCTTCTCCGGATTCGAGCGTAGTTGCCTGCAATGTGATGCGACGGACAATGGTAAACTGGTAAAATGCTCCCATTTGTCTTCCCTTGTCTCTGAAATCTACAGTCCTGTCCAGCAGCCCTTGCGGTATTACAGGAAGTCGCTGCAAGTTCTCTGATATCTGATACGTATCAGGCTAGAAGCTATAGAATAAAAGCAGGCTCAATCGGCCCGACAGAACCCCAACCACATTCCATTTCTAGCTGTCGCTTTGTATACTCAAGCCGATGGCCGGAAAGCCTTGAGCACTCCTAGGCCCTAGGCCCGGAGCGCTGGCCCTAGACTCTAGTCTCTGAACTCACAGCTTCAATTAAACTTCAACAGAACCAATACTGAAGACTCACCAATCAACCTATTAGAACGTGTTTTCGGTTTGTTGTCGGAACCATGAGCTACGCCGCTACACACAAATACAACAGTTACTCATCTACCAATTACCACTTACATAGTGACCTAGTGACCTACAGTCTCAAGTGCAAGTACAGTACACCTCATCAGACCCGGCAGAGTTGAACATGGAGCTGCAAACAACACACAAGTGTCACTGGCATACCAGCTACAATAAGCTAGCTAGCAGCTAACATCAGCTTGGACTTCAAATCCATTTCGCAATGCCCAGCAGCTGGCCTTGAGAACCAAATCATCAAACGACACACGGATGAAGTTGCTGATGAGCTCTCGCATCTTCGACTGTGAGGTGGCATCCAAAACGGGAGGCGACTGGGGCACAAGGCTGTGCAGCTTCTTCACATCCAAGTCGTCTGGGGAATTAATGTTGCATAACACGTGCAAGAAGCCGTCGAAGTCGACCTGACTCTTTCTTTTGGATGCCCAAACTTGAAACTCCTGCTCGGCGGACACGACCCCAGGGACATCTGCAAAGACACGGAGCAACTGCAAGGCACACGGGATGAGCTCCGATTTCACATTGTCGCATTCCATCATGGCCTGTGCCACGTTGGTTGCAACGGCCGCGCCCTTCTGCCTCAAAGGCCTCAGCTCCATCTCCCGGATGCCACCCGTCAGCTCGCCGAACAGATCCTTCATCTCCGAGAGCACACCAAAGAAGGCTGAGCCAGCAAGGTCCTCCGGCTTCGGATTCACGGCCTGCTCGAGCAGCTTCGAAAGCTTTGCCAACTTCGGCCGCAGAAGAGCAGCACTCCCGGCAGTCTTCGTCAGATTGACTACCTCCTTGGCCCAAATTTCCTTTGCCAACACTCCCCGAATCGCACGCCGGAACAAGTCCCGGCCCTTGTACTCGCTGAAGACGAACACCGCGGCTGCGGGGCTGCCGGCATCATCAAAGGATCCCACCTGAGGCACCCCCAGCAATGTCAGGAAGCATCTTGCCATGGCAATCGCATCATCAATTGCCTCTGCAAGCACATTCAGGTCGTTCTTCCGCCAATGCTTGGTTACACTCTCCCAAGAACTCAGTGCACCCACCATCTGCCCACAGATCTCCGCGACGATGCCGTTCTTGTCGCCCATCTGTTCAAGCACCGCAAGCCATGTGTCAGACATGAAGCACGCGAGAAATCCACTGCGAGCTTCCTGGAAAACGCTTCAGTGCTTCCGCCCGTGCCCACATTCAAGTTACTCATTATTCACTACTCATTCCGTCACACCTACGGACCTACTGACATTGTGTGCATGGGTATATTGCAGAATATTTTGTCATGGGCAATGTCGCTGATGGCTTTTAGCCTGTTGCTGTTGTGACAATTGTACAATGTGCACGAAGACAAAAGACCAGCTGACCAGCAGAACAAAAACAATCTATAATGGCAACTGCTCCAGCGACTACGTTTGTAAGCAAATACAGTCACACAGTTTAGTACCGCAATTCCTACTGTGGTGGTCTTTCCTCAATTGAACATAGTAAGCAACAATGACTGCGACAACAATTGCTGCCACAGAATATTTTTGTTTAAGTATTATATAGAGTACTGGAAACGGCCATCAATCCTAGCACATAGCGACGGCAGCCAACCAACTAAGTAAGCAAACGCTACAGAAGAAGATTGAAGTGAAGATGAACATAAGGCCATATGGCTAAGACTGAGACTAAGACGCAGACTGGGAAACCTCTGAAAGCTCAAACGGCTCACACAAGACCCCGTCCTGCAGATCGCTCTTAACTGCCTTCATGGCCTCAGAGTCTTCCATGTCGAAGTCATCTCCAAGGTCCAGGGTCACGTCGTCATTCTCAGCTTGGTCATAGCGCTGGACCAGCCCAGCGATCAGGTGCTGCATCATTGGGTCGGAGCCACAAAATTGGTAATCCAGCTCTCCATCGCTCAAGGGGTTGTCCCAAGTGAAGTGGCGGGTAAACTCGGAGAGCTTTGTCTTGAAACTCGATGGCTGCTCTGCCACGTCCGTGCCCGACTTCACTTCGTTGCAGGCAGCGGTTAAGGCTTCGGTTGCAAATCGGGAGCACACTCTGCACTGCAGAGTCCAAGGATAGTCGGCCCATGAGGCTGCGGACTGGTTGACATAGCCTCGCAGCTTGACCTCCTTCACAGTGCTCACGCCAGTCGCCCAAAGCATAAGGTTCTGGATGTTGTCGCACAGCTGGATGCGTTGTTCAAGCAAGTTACATGCGAAATGGGAGTCGGGCTTGTTCGCCATACCGTCCAAGATACGCTTAGCCTGTCAGAAAGCACATAGCCGATAGCCAAGCTTGCCAACTCACAGCTGGCTACAGCTACGAACAGTGGAAGCTGTGTTGGAAACTTGTGGTTAATATGCTCTTCTACGTGCTCTCACATCTGGGGCATAGGATTCTAGGAAATTGTAGGGCCTGGGACCTAGGACCTAGGAGCTCCGAGGGATTCTGGTACTCTGACTACACCCTAATGCCCTCAGTTTGCCTGCCTGCAATAGTCCAAGAGCTCATTATAGCCTTGCATTCTCATTTTACAAATGCCTGCCCAGCCAAAATGCTACAAGCTGTGTTAGAACTTAGATTCAAGAGTCTAAACTGAGTCGATACATGCTTCAGCATAAAGAAAGCTTCCCAGCAACCATGTTCATGACCATGAAATTTCGCGATGGTACAACATCCTTCACCACCAGGCCTTTTTTGTACTCACTGTTTGTGCCAAGTATGCGGAAATCAGTGGGCCATCAAATCACCATACATGGCTAGCTTCAAGCAAACGCTGCCAAAAAGAACACCCGGCGCCAGTGCTGCCACATCAAATCAAATGCAAGAAATCGGAAACAAGCAGCACTGCAAATTCATTGTGGACCTATCTGATGCACTCACAAATTAGGGAACTTTCTTGCTGACTATTGACTACGGCTATGGCTATGGCTACGGCCTAGGGCCGATGGGTACGGCACGGCTATGGCATGGCGATGGCTACCTACCAATGCTAACTGCTAACCGCTGACCGCTAACAGCTAACACTCTAGTCACTACAATCTCGTCATAGGACACCGGACTATTTAGGAATGGATTAAGGCATTAAGGTCCCCGCTCCCCACCCCACCCCGTTCAACACGTTCATGAGGGGCTTGCGGTCGGCATCCCAAAGCAAGAAGGCTCCCGGCACCAGCCCCTCCAAACTGTTGATCTGGCCCGTGGGTGTCACGGCCAAGTGCTTCTTCGCAACAACCTGCATATCATCATCGAGCTTGGCAATCTGTCTGCTCTTCGCAGTTGTTTTGCCCACGCTGGATCCTGCATCAACTTCCTGCTTGACTCCCGTCTGTTCTGGGCAAGCAGCACTGAGAGTGGGCCTGTGGGAATCTGACTTCACTGCCGGCGCTGGGGCCGACTGGATTGGCTGAGGCTTCGGGTCGCTGCTGCCCGCCTTGCCTGTGACCCGCTTCTTCGGCGCCTTCTCGTTCAAATCACTCACATTGCCCAGGTCAATGCCCAACTGTCGAACTGGGCCTGAACCAGGCTGCTGGTCATCATCATCTTCCACTTTGACAGGCGCAATCTGCTTCTTTTGATTGGCGAGCTCTTTCTCCTTCTGGTCGGCCTCGTTGTGCAACCGCTGAAGTTGGGCCAAGGTCTCGGGCTTGGTGGCCGTGGGCCTAATCTCTGGAGGTCGTTTCTCCCACGAGGCTGCGACCATTCTGTTGAACACATGCCCACCTTGCTCACGGTGAAGCTGTCCTGATGGTGTCAAGCTTGACTGCTGAAGCTCTGTCGAATGGTCGCTGTACACTTCAATCTGCCTCAGACCGGCTATCTGCTCGTGCCTCAAGTCAGCCATGTCCATCAAAATGTATTTCGATGTTTCGCCCGGAGACTTGAACGGAACAGACACAGGGTCCTTTCCGATCTGCTCAGGCTGTCGCTTGAGCAGGGCACCGTACTCACTGGCTGTCAGGGCTAGGAAACTCTGCGAGATGCGGTAGCCGAAACAACTCGCCGTGAACACATGGGCCAGCGGATTGAAGAAAGCCCTCAGCTCCCCATTCTCTTCTTTTGCGATCAATACCTTCAAGCTCATGTCGAACTCGTCTGCGAACTTGGGGTCCGGTGCGTACCCAGCGCGCAAGGTATAGGCCGTCTGGTGAGTTTCCAAGGGATACTCGGGCCTGATGCTCAAGCAGCAATCACAGCACCTGAAGCAGGTTGGCATGAGAACGACCGTGGACCTGGGCAGCATGTAGGCGGTCAGCTGCACGAAGCGCACACCATCCTGCAAACAGAAAGTGGAAACAATCAGATACGGGCATCTCAACCGTTACACTAAACTAAAACCGGGAACCACGCCTCACACAGATCCCCTTAGACGTTGAAACCCTCCCTGGGCATACTAGCTAGTTCAGCTGGCAACTTTTGGGAAGCGGCGACACAGATGATCAGGGAAGCAGCATGCGTCACTACGCGAGTCACACTGTACATATTTACTGTGACGGGGCAGGTCTCAACTAAGCTTACCCTGAAGTCCAACCTTAAACACCAGGTCACCTAAGGCCTAGGGCCTAGGGACTAGAGTCACTAATTAGAGGCCTAAAAAGCGATGCTGTTGGACTGTTGGACCGTTGGATTGCCAAAACATCACATGAACCCCCGGGCCTCCGTGGTTGAAACCCCGCAGAAATGGCATCGGCCTTCCTGCTTGCGCTTCTTTGACTTGGGCTCCGTCGGCGTGCTGCCATCCACCGCAGGCACAAGCTGCCAGCACAAGCTGCTCTCGCCATTGTCCCCTGCTTCTTCCAGTTCTTCTTTCGGAGTCACAGCCGCGGCCGCGGCATCCTTGGCCCAGGTGCAAAGTAGTGGTTGTTGTGGAAATTGATACGGCTACACGTGTTACTATAGTGCACTGTAGAAATGCTAGTGTAGCAGTGTAGCAACTGTAGCAGTATCAGGAGCAGGAGCAGTGTAGCATTGCAGCTGTGCAAGCAGCGCCGTACAACCTTGAGTCTAACCGTAGCCGTAGCCGTAGCCGTAGCCGCCGTAACCTCACAAATTCCTCACTGCGACGATCAACAAACTTCTATCTTGAGACTGCGAAAAGCCTACCAGGTAGCAGTTCGGCTAGCGGCTAGGTTTCTTCTGCTACACTGCCACAAAATCTACGAAACCCCACTCCGCAACCCAGACAAAGTGAATGAAGTGAGTACATTGCACCACTACACTACACTCAAGGAAAACTCCATGTACATTCTTTGGGTCACGTCAGGAGCAACACTACAATCCCAGAGACTGGTGACTAGCTTAAACCAAATTACGAAAGGTTTCTGGCAGGCCGCTAGATGAAACGTATATTCTAGCAACCGTTCCAAGTCAGTTTGCACGCTGAACAACATTATGAAGTAGACCAGACAGCTCCATGAACCCATGCTGCCGGGAATCCTTCCGGCCTCTACCGGCGCCTCTACCGCCTCCTCTTCCGCCCATACCGCTCAAAAGGCAAGGCAGCGAGCAGCAAGCAAGCAGTGAGCAGCAAGCACCGAGCAGAGCAGCTTGCAGCAAGACCAAAACACGTTGGCTTGAACCAGGCTCTTTCAAGTCAAAGTCAAAGAGCCGACCGTCTGCCGTTGAGAAAACTGCTGTTTCAATGGCATTTAAACTTGCGGAAGTCTTCCAGATGCCACTACTCACAGTAATCACTTCACTAGCTGGCTGCTGTAGCTACAAGCAACCGGCACGAACCACGGCACAGGAACTCTTACCCAGCCTGCTGTAGGTCACATCATAAATAAACGACATGTCATGGCACCCAGCAGACACAGCAGCCATGCTGTGCTGTTGCAGTGGCGGCTGTTGCTCCCGCCTGACTTTTCAGTCTTCAGTTTTGAGGCACGCACGACTGTCAACTGTCAACTCTGAGTCCAGGGGGCATTTGCTCCTAACACCCTGCCTGGCAGATGGAAACCTCTGCAGACTCCAAGTAAACTAATTCTTGGATGCTCTGAACATGTGCCACCTGCCACAAAGTCTGACAATCTGACGACAAGGCCCGGAACGTAGCTGGGGCTCAAGATGCTATAGATCCGCTAGATTCGCTAGATTCACTAGATATGCAATATGGACTGCTCTGCAGGCTACGGCTTCTATTCCTACGGCAGTAGACTACGGCGTTACTACGTCCCTACGGCGACGGATGCTCAGGCTCCATTGCACAAACTCGTCTGACTACACCAGTACGACAGTATGTCAGTATGATTAGTGACTACTGACTATGACTATGACTAGTGAATAGGAAGATGCACTGTTTCACTGCCAGTACTGTGCGAGGGTATTTTGGAACAGCTCTGTTGCCACTCGCTGTCACTCGCTCGAAAAACAGGCAGCGATATCAGTCCTCATGATGCACTTTCCAGTCCAATCTTACACAACCACAGCTCAAAGGTTCTGCTGCCTCGCTTTTCTGAACTCAGCTGCGCACTGTCCATTATGGCCCTCCAAAGAAGCAAGAGAGGCAGCTTCCCCTCCACTCCGCTACATCCATACAGCTTCCAGCTTGAACTTAACTTTCTTCAATCTTACTGTATAGCTAGAGTCGAGAGGCAACACAACTCACACGCAAACCTTGACTCTGACAGGAATAGGAACTGTAAGACTGTTAGACTGTAAGGTAAGGGTCGCACATACTCTCTTGCAGGCCAGGCCGAGCCAGTATCACACGAATGCTTTTGATACTGTTTCTCGTAACTGTAGCTACTGTAGCTGCAACTGCTCTGCTGCGGCAAGTTCCCAGGCAGTCAACTCACACTGGCCAAGGCTGCTGGTACCAGCTGCTGCCCAACTGTCACGTGTCCCTAGCCGCAGCCCTAGCCGCAGCCCTAGCTTAGCTGCAAGCTTCCAAGTCATTGGCTCAGCGAGCTGTCTCCAAACTCTGCATTAGGACAAGTCACAACCTCAGCCATGGTGTCAGAGCCAGGAGCACACGTTCTGCCCTCCTGGTCACGAGTCCTAGCCCTAGGGTCCTAGAGGGTCCTTGAGGGGAAGATCACGAGTTTCTATTGTAACCTTCATCTGTAAATTTAAACACCGCAAACACCAAACCCTATTCCCTACAGGCCCTACACTACACTTCCCTGCACTCCTAAAACATCAGGAACCATCAACCAAGCACACCAGTTTGGCCTTCTAATAAAATCAAAGCACTCAGCTGCAGACTACAATGACTATAAGTTTCAGAACTCCCCCCCATAAGAGTCACCTTAGCACAGCACACTCGCTAACTATTGTTGTCCAACTAGGGTGACTAAAGGTTAGCCGTCGTTGATCACTCACTGCTTCTAACAGCCCGACACCAGCATGCACCACTCTAGGAATCAGCGGTTCACAACATGAGGTATCGACTGTCGAACATCTGAACAGCCGAGGACTTGAAGCAACTTCCTCAATGCCTGCCATTGGCTGATACATAGCTGATGTACAAGCTGAAATCGACGATCACTATCTAGCTACTTGTATGCACATCTAACAGCTGACAGAATCTACCACGAGTCTACAGTGTATACAGTCTACAGAGTCACCAACAAGCAGCCACTGAGCACACAATGAACGACGACCTCCCCTGCTGCACTGCCTGTCAGTGCCGCCTGCCACACAAAACGGAATAAGACTCCTGCTACTAGTCACTAGTCGGCATAGAGTAGAGGAAAAGTCTACGTAGAATCATAGAACAAGTCGGGTCGTCCCAGGTACATTCTCAAGATCATTGAAAGACCAATGAAATTTCCGGCAACAGAAACCGCTGCTGCGACCACGGCGTGCA